GTTTGGGGAAATGACGTCATTTTGAAAATAGTTTCACAGTACGTTAGTGAATTAGCCGGAATAAACATTGTATTCGATTCCTATAAATAGATATCTATGTGTAGTTATTAAATATATATATATATATTTATACATTTAAATTTTACAATTAATGTGAAGTAAGGTGTGTGGAGTCAAATTATTTTGAATTCTTTCGGAATAATTTGATTTGAACTGCGCGCGTACATACATATGTACATACACATGTAACATTGATTTCTGTTGGTTTTATAATGAAGTTATATAAAATATATATATAAAAAATTTAGAATTTATGTATACAAATAATTACCAAGATTATATGTTTACCTAAAAAGAATTAAAGCAGTTCCAACCAGTCAATCAATCAGAATGTTTCGAAGTTTGAGTAGCTCTGTTGTCAAGAATGTATATTAGTGCATTACATAAAATCAAAAATCAATAACATTGAAACAATAAAATTTTTACAGATGTTAATGATTGAATTGATTGTATGTATAATATATAAAGGAAATGAACTAAAAGATATACATTTTTATGTAAAAAAGGAGTGATCTCGATTAAATTTGAATTCAACTATCTAAACGTATATACACACTCGAACCTTCCCATCAGGAAGTTCGTAGGCGGTCATGGAATTCATTTTAGTATAGTTAACATATTGTTGTTAAACACATATAACAATGTTTTCTATACATTAAATAAAGTTTTTTAATGATGTCAATGATTGAAATGATAAGAATATATGAATGGAACTGGTATAAATAGGAGCCGAAAATGCGTTGAAATCCGACCGGGCGCTTTAGGGCATTCCCTTAGCGCCTGGTCCCTTTTTTTATTTCCTTATTCGTTACTTATTATTACTAGATTCATTCATTTATTTTATTCGTTATTATTATTTCCTGATTTATTCGTTTATTTTATTCGTTACTTATTATTTCTAGATTTGTTCGTTTATTTTATTGTTATTATTATTGCGCGGTCATACATACACGCACACACACACAAACACACACACATACATACATACATGTATTCGTTTTTTTGTTTGATAGATGTTTTATTCTCTTTTCTTTACTTTTTTCTTCGTAATTGTACAAATAGGTAGGATTAATTCTTAAGTTGAGCTAATTGAACATAGGTAGGTGAGTTAATTTAGTGAACGTAGGTAAGTTAGGGACTCTATTCTTTCATTCTTACGTTCTAGTTTATTTGTATTGTATTGTTTTGTATTGTTTTTTGTTCAACACAACACCAACAGCAGCAATCAAACACAACAATCAACACAATATTATTTTCGTTATATTTTAGTTAAGTTTAGTTAAGTTGTTTATTATTTCTAGACCATTCGTTACTTATTATTACTAGATTTATTCGTTTATTTTGTTCGTTACTTGTTATTTCTAGATTTATACGTTTATTTTATTCGTTACTTATTATTTCTAGATTTGTTCGTTTATTTTATTGTTTTTATTATTGCGCGGTCATACATACACCCACACATACACCCACACACACACATACATACATACATACAAACATTTATTCGTTGTTTTGTTTGCTTGATGTTTTATTCTCTTTTCCTTACTCTCTTCGTAATTGTACAAATAGGTAGGATTAATTCGTAAGTTGAGCTAATTGAACATAGGTAGGTGAGTTAATTTAGTGAACATAGGTAAGTTAGGGTCTCTTCTTACTTTCTTACGTTCTAGTTTATTTGCATTGTATTGTTTTTGTATTGTTTTTTGTTCAACACAACACCAACAACAACAATCATACACAACAATCAGCACAATATTATTTTCGTTATATTTTAGTTAAGTTTAGTTAAGTTGTTTATTATTACTAGACCATTCGTTACTTATTATTTCTCGTTACTTGTTCGTTACTTATTATTCGTTTATTCTATTCGTTACTTATTATTTCTAGATTTGTTTGTTTATTTCATTATTATTATTGCGCGGTCACACACACACACACACACACACACACACACACATACACACACACACACACACACACACATACATACACACAAACATACATTCGTTGTTTTGTTTGCTTGATGTTTCATCCTCCTTTCTTTACTTTTTTCTTCGTAATTGTACAAATAGGTAGGATTAATTTGTAAGTTGAGCTAATTGAAGATAGGTAGGTGAGTTAATTTAGTGAACATAGGTAAGTTAGGGTCTCTATTCTTACTTTCTTACGTTCTAGTTTATTTGCATTGTATTGTTTTTGTATTGATTTTGTTCAAAACAACACCAACAACAACAATCATACACAACAATCAGCACAATATTTTCGTTATATTTTAGTTAAGTTGTTTATTATTACTAGACCCTTCGTTACTTATTATTTCTCGTTACTTATTATTCGTTTATTCTATTCGTTACTTTTTATTTCTAGATTTGTTTATTTCATTGTTATTATTATTGCGCGGTCATACACACACACACACACACACACACACACACACACACACATTCGTTGTTTCGTTTGCTTGATGCTTTATCCTCTTTTCTTTACTTTTTTCTTCGTAATTGTATAGATAGGTAGGATTTAAGTTGAGCTAATTGAACATAGGTAGGTGAGTTAATTTAGTGAACATAGGTAGGTTAGGGACTCTTTCTTTCTTACGTTCTAGTTTATTTCTATTGTATTTTGTTCAACAAAACATCAACAGCAGCAATCAAACACAACAATCAACAGAGTATTATTTTCGTTATATTTTAGTTAAGTTGTTTATTATTACTAGATATTCGTTACATATTATTTCTAGACTGTCGTTTTATTATTAACCCCCTCATGAACGGCTGCCTTGACGTGGCGAGGGGGCTTCTCACTAAATGCCGTTCAAATAAGTGCTCCTTCTTCACTTGTTTGTTTTCTTTAAAATGCGATTCTCTATCTCTTTCTTGGTTGCATTTTTAGCGCAAATACTCTCAAACATGGGTTATGTTAGCATTTGCATGTACGTTATATGTATAACATACACCAACATACAAACAACGGTACAGCACAACACATTTAATAAAGCTCGATGAACAACTCATAAAACATTGAACCAGTGTTATTGTTTCTATACAATAAAAGCCAAAAATTTACAATTTTTATCACGTCAGAGCTGGAAGTTCATAATTTTGCTCATCTTTGATCATGTAACCATTATAACCATTGCTTAGATTAAACTTTATCGACAACGGTGGTAAAAATGATAATGACGTTGGCGATGATTTTACCAAATGAGACGAATATGGACAATCAAACGATGTTGGTGAGAATGGCGATGGTGATGATTGTGGCGATGAAAGCGATGATTGCTTTGATTTTGTAACTATCTGCGAGTTAGACGTCAATTTTATTGCTGACATTTCTTCATCGCATTTGAACGCACCATCCGAATCATCAGCATCGTCAGCAAGTTGTTTGCAGAGCTTCAAACAGTGATTCGTTTCCACACACTAACAAAAGGATGATTAAATCATTTTTAAATGTGTTCCAATTAAATTTCTTACTATTTGCTTGAAAAATTTAAATTGTGCTCTTAATTTACATCTTATCTACAAAAGCTTATTTGAATGTCAACAGTTCAATCTAAACTTAACCATGTGTAAATGCTACTGAATTCAAAACAAACAGATATTTCAAAATTAATTCCTGAAAGTATTACACATTTTGAATTCTTAATAAGTCAGGCTGGAAGATTTAGGCTGCAGAAGTGTGCAGTGGCGGATTTAGGAGAGAGGGTCGGCCCATTGTTAACAGTGTTATTAAAAGCCATTAAACTCAGTTTATCGACCGGAAAATACTGGCATAAGTACATAATGCACAAAAAATAAAAAAATGGCGTTATAAGCCAAAGAAAGTGGTAAGCTTAATTTTGGTTGGCCACACTGGTGAATTTCTAGTCCTTTGCCAAATATCAAAAAGTGTCAGCATTTTTCTAATTTAGCCCCTCCTTCTCCCGTCAACGTTGTCTAGATCCGCTACTTAGAGGCACATGTAGGATATTGATTAATAAGGAAACATAAGACATACATAAACATTGTGTAATAAATGATAATAATACTAACTTCATTGTTGTTAATTGCAACAGATTGCAATGCACCAATTAAATTGTCACTCTTGAATTTTAAAATGTCTATCACCCTGCTGGCCTGTTTCATTAAATATATTGAAATGATTGGCTCCAAATTTTATTTATTTGAAAAATGATCAACAAAATTTTAGAAAATGATCACATGTTGGGTTTTGAATAATAACATTATATCAACAAAAACATTGCGTATACATAATTATTATCACTACTGTTATCACCGGCACAAACATCATCACAACAACCTCTAAACTGCCAGGTTTGGATGCCTTAGTAGGGTAGTAAAGATATTTTTCCTTTTTGTGGAGCTTTGCCTCATCGTTATCATCTTCATCATTTGCAACTGGCTGCTTGATGGTTTTGTAAAGTTGTGCAAGCTTGTGGCAAGATGCAATATGCCCATGCTCAGCTGCAACTCTATATAACTCTATTGCCTGTTTGTTGTGCATTTTTTCATTCATTTAATTATTTATATACTCATCCATTTGAATCAACTATATCATTCTGAATAAAATATTCACAACAAATAAATGAAAAATGCAGCAACCAACTTTTTGAAGATGGCACTGGAGTCCGAGACCCCGTTCATGACAGACAGCCAGATTATAAAGTGCCTTCAAGTGCAGTGGATCCCTGGCCAGCACCTCAGTCCAGATCATCGTCGCCTTCTTGTAAAATCCTCTACGAGCCAAATTACTTGCTATAATATTGCAGGAGTCATTAAAGAGTTGGTTGTACAAATTTCCAAGTGGGCTTGATGAGGATGATGATGATTGGTGAGTAAGTGCGATGGAGTGAGTGAAGGAAGATGTAACGTCCTCTGACGACGATGAGAAAGATGAAGATGAGGATGAAGGTGAAAAATGCTGAAAAGATTGACAAGATTTATGAACAAGTTCATCATCATCAGCATCAGCAACAACTGCTGATTTGAAGATTTCACTGTGTGCTCCATAATTTGTTGAGGTGTTAAAAACCAGTTGCTTGTTGAAGTCAAAATGTAATGTGTTCAGAAAATGAAAATATGGCGATGATGACAATGGTGGTAATGATGGTGATGTCAATGGCAGGAATTTTTCATGTTGGCTATCATTAATTGCTGAATTATTAGATATTGTAAAATCATTTCCAATACTGAAATTATTTGGAGTCTTGGGAATGCCATTTAAATTATTATTAATATTATTATTATTATTATTATTATTATTATAGTCAAAGAATATTGATGATGGTTGTTGTTGATGATGATGTAGTTGTTGATGTTGATGATGATGTTGCTGTTGATGATGTTGTTGATGATGATGTTGTTGATGATGATGTTGTTGATGATGATGTAGTTGTTGTTGTTGATGATGACAAGGTGGAAGAACATGAAATTTAAGATTGTAACTGAATACAACAATTTTCCTCAACAGAAGATAATAAATATCAAAAGACCTTGGATAAATATCATTCCAGTTGTTTAGAAATAACGATGTAACATTCTTCAAATGACTGACTGGACAGAAATTAGTACATTGAACATCTTTTTTCTTGTAACACTTTTTTTTCAATTCATCAACCTCACACGACAGCCTCAATCCTGCTATTATGGCCGTTCCCTAAAATGTTGTGCAGAAATAGAATTTTTTCTTAAAATTTATTTTCTGAATCTTGAATTTAAAATTAAAACAATTGTTTGAAATGAAAAAATTTTATTTATTTAATATCCAACCAACCAATCCGACAGCCTCTAAAAAGTTGAGCTGACAGTTATGAAACCAATGATCAACATTCAAATTAAACTTTTTATAATAGTTTTTGTTTTTATAATTATAACTCCTCTTATCTCCTTGAGAAGATGATGAAGATGATGGTGATGTATTATGATTAATCTCTTTATAACTGCATCCACTCTCTGATAATCTGTGATTAAAATTATAATTCATGAACTTATTTAATAATGCAGTAAAGAAAATTTCAAACTTGTTATAGGGAAAATGTTAGGCTTAAAAAAATTATATTACATTATTATATTATATTATTAGTTAGTTAGTTTAGCTTTAGATAGCTCATTTATAAGAATTTTAACAAAAAAGGAATTAACTTCTACTAAAAAAACTAAACTAACTTATTTGTAGACTGTCTGCAATAATTATTTTCATTAACTAACAGTGGTTTATTATTATGCTGCTCGTTTAGAAGATGCTGAACACCAAAATTTCTCAGAAGATGACCTTTTTTAAAATTTTAAATTCGTTTTTTAATTAATTAATTACATCACAACAGTAAACTAAACAATCAAACAACAAAACTTAACTCACATCTTCGAATTTTATGAAAAGAACGCAACATCCCGCAGATGTTTCCAGCTTCTTCCAGAAAACAACTGCAATCTTAATATTAATTAATATTAATATTTATAATTTTATATTAAAGAATATTTAAATTATATTATTAATTCGTTCATTCATAACAAAGAAACCGTAGACTAGAGAACGGCATTAATTATTTATCACAAATAATTTGATAAGTAAAAATAAACTGAAACACCCTTGCGTATAATTTATTTATATTATATTTACTCGGCTCTACGTTACTGTATCGGCAAGCACGCGACGAAGTTGAGAATGGATTACAACTAGCAATAAAGATGGAATGGGAAATCGGTGTAATAAATGGTTGCCTATATATTGGCTTCTAAAAAATGCAAAGTTTTATCAATATGTCGTGACAAAAAAGTACCAACCCGAAGTTAAACACTGGATTGCGACAACAAAATAGGGGAATTAGTGGAAACGATAAATGACTCAGGTTTATAAGTATATGGGTGGAACCATATAACTAGAATCATAATTTATATCTATGTCTTTCTTCAATTATCGCTTGGTCTGACTCTATGTGTCTTAAACTTAATCTTTCTAAGTTTGAATTAATTTGTTTTAATAAATCTAAACACTCTATTACTATTCCTCCTATTATCTTACCTGATTCTAAAACTCTTGATGTCTCTCATAAGTTTCGTAGTCTAGGTTTTATCTTTGATTCTACTATGTCTCTCTCTTCTCAGATTAATAGTGTAGCTAGAAGCTATTACTTTCATCTACGTAGAATAAAAAAACTTTTGCCTTTTCTTGATGATCCTACTCTTCTCCTTCTTGTTACTTCGTTAATCTTATCTAGGATTGATTATTGTAACTTGCTCTACTATGGTCTTCCTGACTCTATACTCTATCCTTTAAGTAAAGCTTTTAACTCTGCTGCTCGTCTAGTTGCTCGTGCCCCTTTCTTTTCTCATATATCTTCATATCTTGTTCTCTTGCACTGGCTACCTATAAAATTCTATAAAATATAGAATAATTTTTAAAATTTGCACGTTCATGTATAAGTCTCAATTTAAATTATTTCCTAAGTATTTATCAGATATATTAATTGAACCTAAACGCCCCGGTTTACGATCGTCTTCTTCTCGCTTTTTCTTAACTCTTTTGCCAAATCTGCTTTTGCTTTTTCTGGTCCTTTTCTCTGGAACTCTCTACCTACTTCTCTGACTACTTTTCCATCATTTGCGAAGTTCAGAGCGGATCTCAAGACCCATCAGTTTTCAAAATTCATTGAGGAGCGCTGTTGAACATCGCGGAAATATCGCTTTATAAGCTAATTGATTGATTGATTGAGAATAAATATAACGGCCTTCGCTTACTTTCAACGGTCGAACAAGGTGCTTACTTTCGGAGGAAAGTTGGAGGGTGATTTTTTTATCGTTCGATTTTTTATTCTAGTTATGTGGTTCGAGTCAAAAGTTACGACCGTATATTTACTAATTACGGACTATTGCTTTTATTTAAAATGTTAAAATCTAAATTTTTTTAATTGTTATTCAATGTGGTAATTAATTACTTCTATTTGGTATCAATTTAAAAAAATAAAATCGACATTACCGAAAATAATTAAAAGTTGAAAAAATTGAGATTCTTTGCATATCCCTGCTTCAACCCATAAAAAAGTGTTGTATATTGGTAAATAGGCTCCCCTTGTATTTAAGGTATTACATTTAGTAAAAAGTGAATTTAGCTGTTGCCGCAAACTTTTGATTTTGAGGAGTTTCAAATTTTAACCTTGCAAATTGGAAATAATTTTGTCCCCTTATTGTTCAAAATATTAAAATAAAATGGCCGAGAATCCGTTAGAAAGTTTAGCAAACGGTCTGAAATTATTGCAAACATTACGTGCGCAAGTTAATAGTTTCTCAGAATTAGTGTTCAAGGGACCAGCAAATGTCGAAGATGATTCGGAATTTAAATTTTTGTTTGAGGAAGAATCAGAAGAAGACTTTATGTCAGAATTGCGGAAGAATCTTTCAGAATCTAGCCAAATTGTCACGTAAGTAGTTTTTAAATTTAAAAATTTAACACATTTTGTTCATTTCATTAATAAATTAATAAAGCAGTAATAAATAACATTAAAATATTAACTTTATTATTTAATTAATAATCTGTCATTTCATGTTTATTTAGGGAATTTGAAAAAATAGTGTGTTCATTACCGGCTTCATCACTGCCCACGAATCCTGGCCCCACATCGCTACTCGGCATCGACCCCCTGCTAGACAAAACTCCCATTCCGCAACAAGCTATCCCGACTTATAAATGGCTTTCAAAGGTAGTTGGCACATTTGAATTACTTCTTAGTTGCTATTGCTTATTTGTGTTTTAAAATAGATTATTATATATATATATATATATATATATATATATATATATATATATATATATATATGTTGGTAATAGACCATAATTTTTACAATATTCTATAAATTCTACCGAATGTTTGGTGTTTGTAGTTCGTTTTTTCGATTTTTCTCACTAAAGTTTTTTGGAGAACGTTTAGTTTATTAAAATTCAAAATTCCGAATGAATCATCATCAGTGCTAGTTGATTTATATAGGGAAATATTTTCTTTGGGAAAATGAACTTAGATGGAAATTAGGTGTCAGATTTCTTTATTGGGCCAGCCAAGACAAATTACAAACATATTAATTTATAGAATATTGTAAAAATATACATACATATATATATATATATTATTATAGAGAATTTAGGGAAATTATTATAGCGGGGAAATCAACAATTGATGCAATACACATCCTTCGGCAACTGCAAGAGAAGTACCTTGCAAAGCATCAACAACTATCACACATTTTTGTAGACCTTGAAAAAGCATTTGATCAAGTTCCCCGTGAAGCTATCAGGTGGAGTCTACGTCGACAACTCATTTCAGAATATCTTGTTCTACTTGTGAGGGAAATGTATACGATTACTAAGACTCTTGTTAGCACAAAGGTTGGAAACACAGATGCATTTGACATCTGCGTTGGAGTTCACCAAGGCTCGATTCTCAGTCCACTGTTATTTATAACTGTGATGGAAGAAATCACAAAACCAATACGCACTGGTGACCTTTGGAATCTAGTATATGCTGATGATATCGTTTTAACAGCCACGTCTAAGCCAGCCACAGATGTTTGAAGATTGGAACACCAGATTCGCCGATCATGGATTCAAGGTCAACATCAGCAAAACCAAAGCAATGAACACTGGTGAACCTATCCAATCCACAGCTACTGGACGATGGCCCTGATCAGTTTGTAAAGCTGGTGTAGGTAACAATTCAATCAAGTGTCAGCAGTGTAACCAGTGGTGTCACAAACGTTGTTCAAAATAATTGTTACTTTATCTAAAGTGTCCAATTTTGTTTGTCCTGCTTGCATCAATCCACAACAACAAATTCGAAATAGCACTGTTTTTGAAGCCATTAAAATAAAGAAAGTCACATCGTTTCAATATCTAGGGGATGTTTTGGATTGTACTGGAACAGCTGAAGCTGCCGTTCGAGCACGCATACCTGCAGCCTGGAATAAGTGGCATCTCCTTGCCTCTATATTGATGCGGCGTGACATCCCACTACCACTACGATCAAGACTTTATAAATCTGTGATACGTCCGGTCTTGTTATATGGTGCAGAAACATGGCCAATGACAACCAAACTGAAATAACAACTTCAACGAACCGACATGAAAATGCTCCGATGGATGCAACGAATTAGTCTGAAGGACCACGTCAAATCTACCGAAATCCTATGTTGTGCTGGTTTAGTTGATATAAAGGACGAATGCCGGCAACACCGTCTGCGGTGGTTTGATCATGTCAAACGAAGTGGAAATAGTGCCATAACTTCTCTTGCAGATGTTGAAGTACCTGGGGCACACGTCCCAAAGGCCGTCCAAAGAAGTTCTGGTCGCAAACAATCGAGCAAGACACGAAAGCTCTAAATTTAAATGAAATGGATACAACTGATCGTCTAATTTGGCGCAAAAAGTTGATGGCAAAGAAAACAACGTCCTACATCGGGAAACCGGGTCTCTGGATGCAAAACGAAGATTGATTGATTGATTGTTATATATATTATTATATTATATTATATTTTGTATCAAATACAGGAGAACATGTACTTGCACTGATGATGATTCATTCAGAATCTAAATATGGCCTTATTTGCAGCATGAATTCGGAAAATATGTTTATTTTGAATTTTAATAAACTAAATGTTCTTCAAAAACTTTAGTGAGAAAAATTGAAAAAAAACAAACTACAAACATATTAACGCCAAACATTCGGTAGAATTTATAGAATATTGTAAAAATATACATATATATATAGATATATTATATATATTATTATATTATATTATATTTTGTATCAAACACAGCAGAACATGTAGTAAGATTCATCATTAATCATTAGCAAATAGTTGTCACTCTGTCAATTGCTAACTTAACACATGCACACTTACATACACACCACACACTAATTTACACAAATGCTTACTTTCACACACACCTTACTCAAACTTTTACACCCGCTCACAAGATGCATGATGAAGCTTCATTAATGGCTAATCTTTCAAGCTCAAATCTGGTTCGAAGAAATCCTCTTACTTCATTGGTCCCATCGAAAAAACCCAAAAAAGGGAACGTGATTGGCTATCAAGTTCTCCCATCGTATGTTTACTCTTTTTTCTTATAATTATCATTTTTGTTGTCAATGTTATTTATTGCTTTTTGTTATTGTTGTGGTTGGTTAGTGTTGTTGTAGTTTATTGATTGACTGGTTGATTGATTATTTGATTGACTGATTGATTGGCACAGAGGTTTAGAAAACTTGATCAGTCAGTTGGCGGGTTACTTCCAAGACCTTTCGATCACCGTTGTGAAAGTAAATGGACCCCAAATCAATCCATGTATTCTCGAGGTTGTCATCATGATGATTATTAATGTTATTATTATTTTTTTGTTGTTTTTTGTTTGGTTATGATTGTGATAACTAATGATTAATAAGAAGCTGATAAAGATGATGTGTTGATGACGAAATAAGAAATTTGACCTAAATTTCCACAGATAAATTAATTTAACTTTCTATAAATGTACATATATTTGCATAAATTAACATAATTTTTAGGTCGGGGTCACACAGGTCATGAAGGCTCTCTTATTAATGAGAGGTTATGTGATTGAAAATGTCTCTGTGAAGGCTGCCAATGAGTCATTCAAAGTTTCTGAATCTGCTAAGGTGCGCGCGTGTGTGTGTTTGTGTGCGTGTGTGTTTGTATGCGTCTGTGTGTGTTTGTGTGCGTGTGTGTGTGTATTTTAGATTATTTTATTATTTTTTCATCTTCAAATTTAATTTTTGTTTCAAAATATTTTTTTCCTCTTTCAGTTGGATTTCAATTACCTATCAAAACATGAAGTCTTCAGGAAGGTGAGCCTTCTTTTATAAGTTATATTAATAATAATAATAAACAATAATAATAATATTAATAATAGTAATAATAAACAATAATAATAACAAATGATTATAATGATTTAAGATAAGTCAGCATGCAAAATGTGCAATAGTCTCCTACCAGTCATCGTCCTTATCTCCAGACATCTGTCTCCGGCAAATGCTTGTAAGTAATTTTATTATTTATTATTATTATGTTGTTGTTTTTTAATTGAGTGTTTGTGCATGTGTGTTTGTGTGTGTGTGTGTGTGTGTGTGTGTGTGTGTGTGTGTGTGTGTGTGTGTGTGTGTGTGTGTGTGTGTGTGTGTGTGTGTGTGTGTGTGTGTGTGTGTGTGTGTGTGTGATGTATAGAGTCAGGCTGATGAGGCCTCTAAGAATTAACTGAGAGAATAAATGATTATAATTATAGTCATAATTATTAATAATAAGATTCATAATTCTTTTTCAAAAACAGTTCTGGTTTCAGAGTTACAAGAGCCTCTTCACATCACCGTGTAGTAAGTGCAACAAAATTCTAGTGGACTTCTTGCCACCAACCATGCGAGATTTAAGGATTTACGAGCCTCTGCACGTCTTCTGCTCCAAAATATAGCCATTATTATGCCAAATTATATTTAATTGTTGTTATAATTATTGTACTATATTTAAAATTGTACTACTATATTAGGAATTTATTTTGGTCATCATCGTCTCAGGTTGTAGCTTGTATATATGTAATTTATTATTATTTTTACTATTTATTATTATTATTGTTGTTGTTATTATTATTATTTCTATTATTTATTATTATTATTATTATCACTGCAAAAGTCCACGTCAGCAAGTGCAACAGAATTCAAATGGACTTCACATGAAAGTTACCATAGCCCATTATTTTTATGACAGGAATTATTTTATTTGTTTGGTAGTGATTTAATATGGTTCCATCTTGACGCAGTTGTTTCAGTTAATTAGTTATTTATGATATAATTAATAATAACTGTCGTTATTTGTATCGTTGAATGTTTCTAGATCGCTTTATTTCATTTGAAACTCTTGCAAACTGCGTTAAAGTTACATTGGTGTTAATAATTGAAACGAAAATTGCGTCGTTGGTTTTGCTCTGATTGTTGTATTATAATTAAGCTTCGTTATAATTAAATCATTTATTAAAATTTATACGGTGCCATTTTTGTAGCATTACTGCGTGTTTCCTTCTAAACATCTAAAGAATCATGCCAAAACACATACACGTTGCATTGGGAGCTACTTACAAAATAGTCTGGATTAGCTTTGCGTTTGAAGCCAGTCGCAGTGTATAGACTCATCACGAAGGTGGTTCTTGACGACTAATATACGACTTTTGTTCTTGTGTTCAATTCATTATAATGTAATTATAACAATGATAATTATGACGATAGAGGACAAACAATTTATGGTATGCAACCAGACATCAACAAACATCGGGATTTTCTACGCGTTCCCTATACTGACATCATATGTAAAATAAGTTTCATGCAGACTGGTCTGCTCTGTGTTCGTGTCTGTGAGTGTGCGTGCGTGTGTGTATTTATGTATATAATCAAATTAGCACACATATGATATCATAGATGGCTGCTGGCAACAAACGGTGACTCTGCCTACTACTACGCCATCTAGCTGCGTAGTGCCATACCCAACTATTTATTTAGCTGAAAATTGGTTAGTCAGTTAATTTTAAAACTCATCATCTAGTTAAATGGTTAAGAATAAAAGTTATAATCTCAAGCAATGGATGCATGTTCTGTTTTATTGGTTGGCTCGCGTTCATCAGTCAATGTTCTTCAATGTGAACTTTCTGAACTTTGAACTTTTGCTCTTATATAATTATATATATATATATATATACATGAATATGTGTGTATATATATATTTATACATATATATAACCATGTTTAGATGCATGTTTACATATGTTGCATACTACCTTATCACGTGAGTTTTAAAGTCTGAAATGTTGCAATACATGCACTCTTACAGATATATTTTCCATCCATCTATCTCTATTTGTCCGTCTATCTTTTTATTCATCCTTTCCCCGTTTGTTTATTTGTTTCGTCATTCGTTCATCCATTCCTACATTCAAACATTCACTCAAATTTTTATTTAAAAGTTTGCACACGCAGATAAGTCAGGTTCTCATTATGATTCTTCCTTCTTTATAATTTCTAGCTAAATATAACATCTCTGAAGATATATCATTTATTTACTTACTTATTTATGAACCATTCATGATATAAATATCGTTAATAATATTAACAAATGGTAATTATGACGAATAGTGATAGTAATAATTTGATTAGCGCAAGTTTTATTTTTTAAAGTATATATTTTAACAGGTATTAATGTTAGTTATCCTCAGTTAATGAATTATTGTTATTTAAAATTGTATTATAAATGTTGATTTTATGATGGCAAAGAATTTCTATATAACTAAAGTATAACCTTAATTAGTCGTTAGTTTGATTTCGGTCCGAAAATTTTTGCTCTAAAATTTATTTTGAAATTACTTGAGAACAAATATTACGTCGAAGCGTTCTACCGAAACCTTTGATTCCTTACAAATATTCGAACATGGCCGAGGGCGGTAAAACTTATCTCTACCCAAGAAATAAACGAGACGACGATGACAACGACAGCAGCAGAAACAACCAACTACCGAAATCTTGGTCGCCACCATCAACGACAACCACAACTGACGTACATTATTCGACGTTGCTAGCTGAGATGGAGCCATACTTCCACCGAGAGAACACCGAAGATTTCTCATACGCCGATTTGGATTGCATTCCCGCCTTTCTACTCGAGCGAGCGCACGAAGTTATCAACCTACATCTCGAATACAACTTGCTGAACCAGCTGTCCACAGAGGTGAGAGAGAGAGAAAGAGAGAGAAAGAGAGAGAGAGAGTATTTGGAGCTTCAATTTTATTTCATTGTATAAGTGAATTTATTATTTTGATGTTTCTTGATACCAACGAAAAATGCCCTGTATTTCTTGTGTAAATCCGTTTTAATAATGGCCATTTCCATGTCCTTTAAAATCGTCAATCAAAATTTTTTCATTTTGTGTACAAATTTGTTTAAAAGATTTTTAAATTGAATATTTTCTGCAAAAACCTGACTTGAATTTTTCAAATTTTTCAAGTTAGGAACGTTCAAAAATCTCGTTCATCTGGACGTGAGCAACAATAGGATCAGCAAAATTTCAGACGAGATATGCAAACTGAACTACCTAAGATCATTCATCTGTCGGAATAATAATCTAAAAGTAGAATCCATCCCGAAAGATTTTGGTCTGATGAAGTCGTTGATGTTGTTGAATGTTAGTGGCAACAGTTTCAACGAGGTTCCCGTACAGTTCACTGAAATTTCTACCTTGAGAAGTTTATACCTGGGAGCTAATTTGATCGTCAATGTCCCGAAAGAGATAGGAGATCTTAAAAGGTTGGCAGATGATGATGAGAAAGTTTTTTGTTTTAGCTTTCAGGTTCAACGTTTATTATAATTGTCCTTCAGGCCTTGAAACTTGGAAAACGTAAAGATCAAATTATCTGTAAAAAACGATGATAATTCAATACTCCGCTGATTAGTTCATTCATCTTATTATTTGCTCATACATTCATTCATTCATACATTCATTCATTTATTTATTCATTCATCCGCAAAGACTGGAGATCTTATACTTGGGTGGTAATCGTTTGAAGAGCATTCCAGCCGAGGTTGGCAGTATGAACTCCTTAGTTTCCTTAGTACTCTCAGACAACCAACTCGCACAGCTGCCCAATTCGCTCGCCAGATTGAAAAATTTACAATCTTTGTCTCTTCACAATAATCGGTTGGTTGCTTTGTTTGTTTGTTTGTTCGATCATTCATTCCCTTTATTTTCCTTCATTCACATTTGCAAATTCAGCCAAAGTTTAACTTATGTAGTCCTAGAAGAAATGACTTTATAGCAGAGTCGAAATGATTTTGAAACAATAATATAATACAATTTAATAAAAATAATAATTATTGCATTGACTAAATGGTTAAAAAACCTTCACCCTCAAAAACCCTCGACACGAACCAGCCTGTCGACCCTGCCTCCAGAACTCATCCACCTGAACCTGATTGAACTTAGCCTTCGGAACAACCCGCTCGTCGTCAGGTTCGTACAGGACCTCACGTACGAGCCGCCATCCTTGAAGGAACTTTCTGGAAGGATTATAAAGATTAAAAACATTTCGTATGGAAGGTTTGATCTGCCGGCCAATCTCATTGATTACCTCAATTCCGGCAGTCAGTGCGTTAATCCCAAGTGTAAAGGTTTGTCGGTTTTTATGGGAAGTATTAATAAACAGATCAGTCGGTCAATCTTTCGTTTATTCATTTTTTCATTCGTTCGTTCATTCGTTCAATTATTTATTTATTCAACAAAATACCAGTCAGTCTTCTTACAGGCAAAATGAAGCACAATACCACCTCAATACACTTTGAATACACATGTCGTAGGCGAGAATCTTCTTGCATTCGATCCAGGTCACTGCGAGATAGAACCTCTTGCTGCCGCTGCTCTAACCATTAAACTGTTACATCAATCATTCATGTTGTTGATAATTTATTGCCCTTATTGGAATAAATAAATACGCTGAAATTTGAAAATCTTTTGACATATCCTAAAAAATTCTCTACTCTCAGGAGTTTACTTTTCCTCGTGCATAGAACATATCAAATTTGTGGACTTTTGCGGTAAATATCGCTTGCCATTGCTACAATATCTGTGCTCTCCAAAATGCACCAGCACGCCATTGGTTCCGTATTCGAGTGAGGAGAGCGATGATTCGACGGACGAAGATGCTCTGAAACTACTTCCTGTTGTCTCAAAGAAGATCCAGAAAGTTCTTCTTGGTTGATGGTGTGTTTGTTGGGGCTGTATATGCGAACACGCATACAACACACACACACATCCTCACGCACACCAGTATATATAAACATACAAGCAAAACACGCATATTAGTCATATTGTGTTAATTTGTTAAGAAAGGGAAAATAGTGATTCGAAATATTACATTTGGCACTGTAAGAGTTTGCGACATAAACATTGATAGATTTATTTGTTGAAAGACGTTATGCTTTTTATTTTGGCTGGCGTTTCAATTCATACAACTATCAATAAATCATCGATACAAGATTTCGGCACCCACACACACATACACATTCACACATTGTTAATATGAAATAATAATAATAATATTAATAGAAAATTATTTTATAATTGGATTTAAATTTTGAAAAATGGAAGTATGTTTTGCTGATATAAATATTAAAGAGTTATTAAACAATGTTATGTTTTTTTATATACTTTGCCATCATCATCATCGTAATCTTCATCATCATCATCGTAATCTTCACCATCATCATTATAACCATCATCAACAACATCATTATTATCATCATTGTTGCTTATTTTTCGTATCATCATCATCATCGTCGTCGTCGTCCCAATCGTTGCTCAACAGGCTGCTAGCTAAATCATTATCGTCATCATGATCGTTATTGTTATTATTATTTTTATTATTATTATTTTTATTATTATTATTATTTTTGTCTTTAATAACCTCTTTCAGAGCACTTGTGTTACGCTGCGTTTTGCCAACGGTTTCTTTATTTTGAATTTTACTCTCTGATCTTTTTACCATGTTGGTATTATTATTATTTTTATTATTCCTGAGATTATTATTATTATTATTAGCGAAACCATTAGAACCGGTGGTAGTAATCGAGTCGTCGGCGATATCGGTATCGTTATCGCCCAACCCTATAATTGTCCTTTGTTTCGTTAACAAGTTTCGGTTTTGATTATTATTATTCGTTCTCCTATTTGGTATTACTGAAATCGAAGTTAGACTATCACCACCATCGTCGTCGTCATTATCACAATCGTTACCATCTTTTTGGCTGGTGATATGCCTCTTTGTTTGTTGAAGTCTGGCTCTCGGAATTGGTTGAGGTAATTGTTGTTGTTGTTGTCGTTGTGATGTTATTGATGTTCTTACCGAATGTTTCGGCGTTGTTGACTGTTGAGATATGTTTGATCGCCTTAGTGGCTGTTTTTGATGTTGTTGTTGATGTTGTGTTGTTGATGCTTTTGAGGAAGGATGTATCGTGGAGATTGCATAGTTCGGTCCGATCAGGCTTCTTGTGCGTTCCCTCAATTCTTTATTGAAATCTTTTCAAAGTGAATAAATGAATGAACAAATGAATGAACGAATGATTGAATGAATAAATGGATGAGCGAACGAACGAGCAAACTAATGAATAAATGAACAAATAAAGGAATGAAAGAACGAGCAAATGAACGAATGAACTATAATAAAAACAAATGAACAAACGAACGAATAAATAAAACAAACAAATCAATAAAATTACTTTTCGAATTCACATCATTTCTTTGTAAGCTATTGATCAACTTTCGAACGTTTTCATTCACATTGGCCTCTACCTCTTTCCTTATATCTTCAAAATCTCCAGAGTTCATGTACTGATGTTAAAAATATACAAATAATAATGTAATAATAATAATATAATAATAATAATAGTGGTCCTGCAACATCTTCACCGTTACACTATTATCTAAATAAACTATCAAATAAATAAATAAATGAATAATCACACATCTAAAATTATGAAATTATTGTTTAATATTATTATATCACAATTATAATAATAATTATTTTTTTATTATGATAATAAACCTCTGCTTGAGATTTCTGCCTGGTCTTGATTCTATTCAAAACTTGGAGAGTCTTATCGTCGTCGACGAGGCAGAGGTCCTTCCAATTTCAATAATTATAAAGTAGTGTTAAGCGCTGATAGCATGTATTCGTGAATATAATTGATGCTAGGTATTTATTGCATGTATGTTATTGAATACTGGTCTGGAAAAGTATATTCGAGTACTAATGTAATAATTATTAATAATAAGCTTATAATTATATAAAAATATGACAAAAATATTATTAATATTAATGAAATTAAAATTGATGTCAAAAGACAGACCAGTCCTATGCCAAAACTGGACAGCTCCTCGTTCAGTTCATCATTTATTTTCATTCTTAACTGGTCAATGCTGTTTTTCATTCATTTATTCATTCACTCATTAATTCATTCATCCATTCATTCTTTCATTCATATTATTATTATTAAAACGCAGTTTCAACAAACCTTTGTAAATCTGTAGGAATTTATTTATTTTTATTAAATTTTTTCTAATGATTAATTCATTCATCCGTTTATTCATTTGTTCATTCTTCCGTTTGTTCGTTTGTTTGTTCGTTCAGTTCATTCGTTCGTTCATTCGTTCATTCAACCAATCATTCGCCCGTTAATCAATCAACCAATCAAATATCTGAAATATATATATTGGAAGGAGACCATCTGTACTACATATGTATATATATATATATATATATATATTTATTTATTTATTTATTTATATTTATATTTATATATACAAAGCATAAATAATAATAATAACAACAACAACAATAATAATAATAATAATAATGATGACGAAGATGATGATGATGAGGACAACTCACTTTTATAAATATCCATCGTCCTAGGAATGACGGGCAGGCCAGAGAAATCTGCCGATCCAACAATGCCATCCACGCTAACCTCCGTCACGATGAATTCATCTTTACTATCATCATCAGCATCACAGTTAGCAGCTGCTGTAGTAGCTGGAGCAGCTGTTTTAGCTGCAATAGCTCTAATACTTGATCTAATTGTCCCTTGTGAAGTTTTTGCTGGCGCTGCTGTTGATGGTGATCTCAGTTGGGTTCCCTCGCTGTTAGCACTTTCTCTTTTGCTATTTTGGTCTGCCCCGGTGATGTTGTTGTATTTGTAATAATGGATGGATGAAAGAATGAATGAACGAACGAATGAAAATGAATGAACGAATGAATGAACGAACGAATGAATGAACGAACGAATACACGAATGAATCAACGTACACTCATCAGACTTCCTAGGAGCATTACTAATCAAAGCATCATATTCGATCTTTTTCTCAACAGTTTTTTCACATTGATTTACATAATCTTCCAAATTTTCAATATCGTCAACGATATCCGATTCGATATTATTGGTAATTGCACAGTCATCCAACTTCGGAGAGTTTTGTTTAAGTCCAGTACCGACTGCTTTTCTATCTGATGTAGTCGAATTTTTACCTTGATCATCAAATATTTTTGAAGAGCTTGATTTTTTCTTTGAATCATTCAAGCGTACAACTTTCGTTTGATTGTCGGTAATTAACTTTTGAACGAGTTTTTCTACCGATTCTCTCGTTATGAAGTCTCGAGTAGGAATGTACTCTACCTTATCGACTTTTGACCGACTATCGAAACTCAAATTACCGGTTGCGGGAACATCATCTTCTAACTGGCCGAGACATCGACCTGGAACTTTGGTGGTGAATGAATGAATGAACGAACGAACGAACGAATGAATGAATAAAATAATGAGTAAATGAACGAGCGAACAAGTAAATGATCGAAAAACAAAAATGACAACTTCTAATTCTTTTCAATTGTTCAAGTTTCTCTTCAGTTTCTCGTTGCTTCAAGTGCATCTCATTCATCTCACTCAAAAACTGTCTCTGCATTCTCTCCATCTCTCTCTAATCGTTTGAATTAATATTTTATTATTAATAAAATATTAAAATAATATTTTCACAATTTATAAATAGGAGTTTGTTAAGAAACGCTTTCATTAAAATCATTCATTCGTTCATTGCCCGTTCGCTCATCAATTCTCCGTTCGTTCATTCATTCACTCATTCATTCACTCATTCGTCCGGCTGTCCGTTCGTTCATTCAAATAAAAACGTATAACTGATGAGTTACAGCATGTTGAACTTTTTGCGCCGAATTCAAGTCATCCAATTTCTCCCTGAAATCATTCTCCATCATCGCTCTCAACTTATCCTCCATCTAAAACGAATCGTTCAAGTTGGAATTATTTATTTTCAGAATGGACAAGCAAATCAGTGAGCAAACAGACAAACGAATAGACAAACACATACGCATACACAGGCATACAAACTTCTTTCAAAGCGAGATCATTATTTTTAACGTTGTCTCTATTGTTTCTCAGTTCGTGACACTCGTGTAATAAACTTTTCTTCTCACATTCCACCCTCTCCAGCTCTCTTCTCAACTCAAATAACTGCTTCTGTAAGATTTCGGACAGCTGTTGTGGGGGTTGTAGTGTTTGTTGCCGGTAGTAAAATTGTTGTTGCGGTTGCAGTTGTTGCGGTTGTGGTTGGTAAGTTAGTAGCAGCGGGTGTTGTTGATCGTTTTTCTTACAAATCAACCTAAAATGTTCTAGAAGGCATTGAAATTCTTTGAAAATATTTAGCAGTTCTTTTAGATTGTTCATCTCTTTCAGCATCAATTTCTCTCGTTCTTCGTTTACCAGCAGTTCACCTACATTAATGTTCGCGTTGTGTTCATCTTTGCTGTTAATTTTTCCATCATTTTCTGCGTTTTTGGCTTTCAGGCATTCGAGAATGTTAAGAATTGATGATGTCGACGTTGTCAGTTGTTCCATTTTGAATTCGATTAAGTTTATTTCAGGGAGATTTGAGTTATTTGATTGGTTGTTTTCGTTAAGAAGATGTTGTTGTTGTTGTTGTTGCTGCTGCTGTTGTGTTGTTGTTTCAAATATGTTTGTGTTGTTGGTTGCTAAGGTTGTTGCTGCTGGATGTCTTCTCAAGATATGCGAGGTTAAGAAATTTTCAGTGGAGAATAATTTACCGCATGTTGGGCACTGTTACCGTGTTAGTGTATGTGTGTGTACGTGTGTGTGACATGTGTTTGTATGTCTGTGAATGTGTGTACTAATGTGTGTATATGTTTAAGTAATGCGTAAGCTTTTGATAAATAATGCTGAAGGATGTTAACCTTATGACGGCCATGTTGGCGATCACCGTTATCAAGAGCGTTACTCGTAAAGTTGTTATCATCATCAACGTCATGATGAGGCGCATAATTTTGATATTTAAAGTTATTATTTGCATCGATGATATTCTTTTGTAATGTTATTGTTCTATCTTTGCTCTGTACGTCTTTATGGAGTCTCGATATTTGGGATTTTAATTTAGGAATTGTTGTATTTTCTACGTTCTCTTTTAACTGAATATAAATTAATAAATTGTAATTAATCATTGTTATATTTTTATTATGATCAATGGGTTAAGACGCCTGGCTCTGCTGTTGAAGAAACCGTGTTCGAATGCAAAAAGATCCCCATCTGCCGATGCCACGTTCGCGTCTTACGTGGATTTATGTATAATTACATGCGGTTCTTGATAGCTTCAATAAAAAGAGAAAGAGTTAATAATGATAATAATTTAAATTCATGATTTTTGAATATTACATTGAAAATAATTAATATTTTTACGTTTTTCAATTTGGTTAGCTCATCGTTCAATTTTCTAATATCTGATAAGAGAACGTCCTGAGAATTCTGTATTTTAAAAATTTATTCATTTATATATATTTCATTTATTTTTAAATTATTAAACTAAATTATTTATAGGATAACTTTTATAAACTTTTATTAAAAAATGATTATTACAAAATACAACAACAACAACAACATACGTTTAGACGGCATTTTCCCCGAGATCGGGGGTTGCCGTTTGGCTACCTATGATGAAACCGAAATACCCCTCGACGCCATCCACATCTGTCACTCGCCTCAGTATCACGCAACCCCGCTTTCACCCTGTCCTTCTCCACCTGCTCTCTCCATCCCAATCGCGGACGACCCCTTCCTACCACTCCTTCAACCTCGAACTCCAACGCTCGCCTAATCCCGACCCTTTCACCCCTTCTCAACACATGTCCATACCACCGCAATCTCGATCTCATATCAATGTCACAATGTCCTCATTCAGTCCCATCATCGACATCAGCTCTGTACTACTCCTCCTATCCTTCACTTTAACCCCACACATCATCCTCACCATAGCTCTTTCAGCCCTCTGCAGTACACTTTCCTCCTCTCTCCTCAACACCCAAGTTTCACCACCATATACCATCGCTGCTCTCACACATGCTTTATATACCCTCCCTTTCATCTTCACTGACCATTTCTTTCTACACAATACCCCACCCAGTTCTCTAAATTTCATCCATCCCACACGAACTCTAGCCGTAACTGCGCTCAAACATCCTCCATCCGCGTTCAGCTTATCCCCTAAGTAAACAAAGCTTTCCACTCTTTCGATACCACCACTCAACCCCGTCCTTGCGTCCGTCCTATTAATCACACCATGAACACATTTCTTACATTTGAACGTTCCTTCCACCTTTTTCAGTGCCCTCCTCACACCACTACATCTCTTATGCACCCATTTCTGACATCCTATACACAATACCGAGTTAGCCTTCACTCTCCTGTCACATACCCCACAGGGGTCTATTTTACTTATCACTCGCTCCCCACCTTCCCCACTCACCATTACCTTCGTTTTACCAATATTAACTTTTAACCCTTTCTTTTCAATAGCACTTTTCCGTCTGTCAAATTTTAACTGCAATTCTTCCATGCTATCAGCCATCAAGACTAAATCATCTGCATACAAAATCTCAAATAACAACCCCTCCATTATGTTTCCACACACAACATCCATCACAATTGCAAACAGAAACGGTGATAACACTGATCCTTGATGCACTCCTACCTTAACACTAAAAGCGTCCGACATCCCCCTTCCAACCCTCACCTTTGTCTTTGCCCCTTCATACAGCTGCATCACAGCTTTAACAAGTCTCTCATTCACTCCTTTCTTCCTCAACGCCCATTCAATGACCTTCCTCGGTACTCGATCAAAAGCCTTTTCTAGATCCACAAAACACATGTACAATCTTCGCTTCTTCTTTCTATAATTCTTCTGCAACATGCAACATTCTCACCATGAACAACGCATCCACCGTTCCCCTACCAGGCATAAACCCACACTGCATTTCATTAACTGTCACATTACTTCTCAACCTCCTCTCAAGCACCCTCTCCACTACCTTCATTCCGTGCTCTAGTAATTTCACACCCCTGTATGACCCACAATCTCTCACATCTCCTTTGCCCTTATACAACGGCACCAACACACTGTGTTGCCAATCCTCAGGTATACCTTCATCATCAAACATACTGTTAGCAATTCTCATCATAACATCAATTCCTATCACCCCACTCGCTTTAATATGTTCTGCCACCACTTCCGAAACCCCTATCGCCTTACCTAGTTTCATTTCTCTAACTGCTTTCTCTACTTCCTCCATCGTCACCTTCTCTATAGGTCCGTGTGTGACCGCGGATTCCACATCTCCATCCCACTCATTCTCTTCATTCATCAACCTTTCCATATGAGCTTTCCACACCTGAGCTTTTTCCTCCTCATCTATGCACAACTTGCCAGATCCATCCCAAACACATCCATTCCCTATAACATCTTTCCTATCCCTCATTGACTGCTTTGCTACTTTGAACATTTTCCTCGAACTCACATCAAATTCCATTTCCTTTATTAACCTATCTGATGCTTTCGTCATTGCAGTTGCCACTGCCTGTTTTGCAACCTTCTTAGCCTTCCTATACTCAGACTCCGCTTCCTCCGTCATGTCCCTTCTCCATACCCTAAACCTCTCCTTCTTGACTTTCAAAACCCTTCTTATATCTTCATCCCACCACCACGTCTCACCATGCCTACACTTTCCTTTCGTCCATCCACATACTTTATCTGCCGTAGCCAACACACAGTCCCTGTATCTCTCCCAAACATCTCCATCCTTACCACTCTCCCAATTTTCAGCCACCTTCACTTCAAATGCCTTCCTCACCTCTGCATCCTGCAACTTCCATGTCTTTCTCTTTGCCACAAACTTATCCTTCTTCCTCCTCCCCATTTCTTTTGATGTCACATCCATCACAACCATACTATGCTGCAACATACTAGGTATCGCCTTCACATTCTTCACATACTTCCTATGTTTGGCCCTTACCAATATATAGTCTATCATCGATCTATGTTCCCCTGACCTATAAGTAATCAATCGCGCTGGTTCCCTTGTGAACCAAGTATTCCCCACCACCATGCTATGTGCATCCGCTAACTCCAACACTCTACGCCTATAAGTAATCAATCGCGCTGATAGTAATCAAGACCTATAAGTAATCAATCGCGCTGGTTCCCTTGTGAACCAAGTATTCCCCACCACCATGCTATGTGCATCCGCTAACTCCAACACTCTACGCCCTTCCTCATTCCGTATACCATATCCCCATCCCCCATGTACACCTTCATATCCGTCTGCATCCGCCCCCACATGACCATTCAAATCACCCAACAACACCACAAACTCATTCAACCCCGCTTGCCCGATCTCGTCAGAAACATCATCATAAAACCTATCCTTCTCCTCTTCCTTCCTACTTTGTTGCGGAGCATATCCTGATATCACCCTCACTATTACTTTTCCAAACACCATCACCACCACAATTACCCCATTGCTTCTCCGCCTCACTTCCAACACCTTCTCCACCAACTCTTCTCTTACCATCACACCAACTCCTCCCGTACCATCATCCCCCTTCCACCACAACTTATATCTTCCACCTTTAGCCCCCACAAACCTTGTACCCTCACCCTTCCATCTGATCTTCTGTAATGCAGCCACGTCAACCATTCTCCTCTGCAGCTCCTCCACCACTTCCAAACTTCTTCCTGTCAACGTGCCTACATTCCAGGTACCAAACCTCCAACCCCTTGGTCTACAAGTAGTCCTTCCATCTATAGTGCCTTGCACCGCCACACTATAGAGTGGGGTGCCAGTAGCCAGACCATCCACAGGGCCTTGCACCACAACCCCATGGACTGGGTCTCCGGAGATTCTTCGCACCCTCTTCTGCCGGATACTGAGGGCCATTGTTTTTTCCGTCATCATAAGTATTATTATTTGGCTAGTTTTTTACACAGGACGCCCTTCCTTACGCAACCACAGTTATAAGCGGTGGGCCTAGCCTTTGATGATCCAACATCACTCACAAGGCAGTGAGGGTCAGTTTAATGTCATAACCAGGACACAAAATAATTAAAATTAATAATTATTACAATTCTTACAAAATAATTAAAACATTATCTCACGAGCAAGTGCTTGATAATACTTTGACAGAGTTTGAACAATTTCAAATAGCTTGCTTCTAGGTCGCCACCCTTTTATAATATTTTTATTAATTTAAATATAATTTAATAATTTTAGATGGCAAAATAATTAAAGATGCTTGGTTATAAGTGGCAGTGACCTCGTTCAAATGCAAAAAGATTCCACGTGTTGTAAGCAAAAAAACTGTAAGATGAATTGTTTCAATGGTATTGACGTAAACGTTTTAAATTGAATGAATTTTATTTATTTAAAGTTTTATTCACGAAAAAACAACTAATTATCTTACGGCTTCTTGTTCAATATTACAGAAAACTATGTTAGACAGCAATGATTGGAGCGTCTCGAAGTCTAAATCTTTATTGAAACTTCCTAAATTCACACTTGCTGTTGAAATAAAAAATATTTCTAACCACGGTAAAGTAAAATTTAATTATTTTATAATAAATTTATAATTCTAAACGTAATTCCGTGTGAAGAAATATGATTTTGGTGATAAAATTTGTAGAATTTTAATTGGGTAATCAACCACAGAATGATCAAATCAAATCAAATCAAACTTTTATAATTTTTTTATAACTAATATTATTAATATATTTTTACCAATTTTTTTCCAATCAAGTCTTTCAAAATTTTTCATATTTGTTAATAATAAAAAGTAGAATTTATCACAAAGTTAATAATGAATTGAAAATAGAACCATAATTTAAATTCAAATGAATTAATTAAGGAAATAATTTGACACAGGTGTTAGGAAAAACTTCGTTGCTAATGAAAACATCTTGAAGTACCATTTAAAAAGCTCATTAAAAGTAAATTTTAGTTTAAATTTAAATTTTTGATTATTTAATGCAATTAAAAATTACAAACATGTTATTACAAATTAAAATATTGTACGATTAAAAGTTTCATAATCTATAAAAAAAATTTGAACTAAAAGTTTTAAAAAAACGCGCAGGTAATTAATTTAACTATTTGTGTAAATTTTATTTGGAAAAACCCACCAAAAGACCATTTCCACTAACCGTAAAAACGTTCCGGGTGTTAAGTAAAATAATTTTTTCATATGTTATTAAAAAATGTACATTTATAATATGCCGTATAGTATTTTAAGAGATCTCTGTCGAGTTCTCGATGTCGGAAATCAGATCTGGAAAGATTTAGGTAAAAAAATTTTTAGCTAAAGCCTAAAAGGCTAAAACTCTCCTTATTTCTTTTTTTTCTTTTCATTCATTGTTTATTTTATTTTTTAGAAGATAAGTGAAAATTTATTATTTTTAAAAATTTAAAGCATTACAGATTAAAATTTAATTTCATACATTTGAAAATAAAAGGTAAAAAAATATAAATTGATAGTTGTAACAAAATTTTCTAACTACTAAACTACAATCTCTAAATGAACTAATTAAAATATAAGTAAATGTAACAACCTCTTATTACCAAAAACTCAGCTGGAGAAATAGGCTACACTGCATCACAGACCCAGTTTTTAGAGCTTGAGTACCGTCGATTTGATGGCAGCCCATCGGAGAGATTACTTTCAAAGTGGGGCCACTCAAATGCAACAGTCGATATGCTGGCTACTAGTCTGAAGAAGATTAATGCTATAAGAGCCTTGAATATCATCAAACATTTAGGTGTGTGTGTTGGTGTGTGTGTTGGATTTTTTAAAATTTTGTAATGAAAATTTTTAAAATTTGATTTTAATTTGTTCTTGTCATGGGTATAAAAGTAATTTTACTGTAATTTAGTTGTCAGTTGATTCAAATTTTAATTTTTTTTTTCATTTTAATTAGTTTCAGCCTCTTTGAGAGAAGCTTTATACGAAGAAGATGATGATGGTGAAAATAAGAAAGGTCTTTTATTTGTTTTAATTACTGATTGAACTTTTTACAATATATCTCAAATATAATATAATTCTTTCATCTACCCATCTACATATCTATCTACATGTATAGTATATGTATTATAACTGTCAAATATATATTATATATCTACATCTATATAATGTTAATCCATTTATTTGTTTATTTTTATATTTACTTGAATTATATAATAATTAATTATTGACTATAATTATGGTTATAATTGATGATAAAAATTATGGTTATATCTATGATCTAGTGATAAAGTTAACGGCAGTACCATTGTATGACGATGGTGATGATATGAATGGGGGTTCTCATGTTACTGATGATGTCTTACCACCACCTGCAGTCCATAAAGTAATGTTTATTATTATTAACTATTATTATTTATTAAACGAATCATTGAATAAATTAATTAATAAATGAGTTGATGAATGACTGTGTGAGTGAATTGTTTGATGAATTAATATGTGAATTAATGGTTATGAGTGAAACAATCTTGATTGATTGATTATTAATTGATTGATTGGTTGACTGACTGACTGACCGACTGACTGATTGATTGATCGATTGATTGAATTAATTAATATAACCGTCAACATTATTATTATTATTCTATAATTTTATGATATAATTTTTTTCACTTAGGCATTACAGGCCGATAATGAACTCCAAAGAAACAATTACAACAATGGGAAAAATAATAATAATAATTATAATTATAATTACTGCAAGGGTGATGGTAATAATAATAAGTGTAGCACAGCAAATGGTGGCAGAGGTTTGAGATTGAATTCAGGGCGTTAAACATTAATCTAAAAATTTTACAATCAATTTTTTTTTCAATTCAAAAATTTTAAGCTGAACCAATGATTGGAATGAATGAATGAATGGATGGATGGATGGATTTATGAATGGATGAATGGCTGGATGGATGAATGAATGAATGAATGAAAGCATAATTAAATAAATGAGTAAACGATAAATGTATGAATGAGCAAGCATATGGAGAGGGTTGTTGTATATTGAAATCGGCGACACATTTTCAGTGTTGGTATTTTTTTTCATTGTAAAGCTCTGACATCTGCCGAACTGCATTCCTTTCCTATATTTGAACTTCCACAATGACCGCACTGCCCACACAGCACAACTTACAAACGCGTTATCTTTTCACGTGCAAACACCGTGATGGTCTGTGATGGTCCGTGATGGTCTGTGAGTTTAGAACCGACATTATTTGAACCCGGCTATCGCCCAACTGCACGAGACATGGCATTTCTACCGACTGAGCTAACTCGTCGATTTTCAAAAATAAGTATCGGTTTTAGCACCGGCAGTTCATTTTGAGGCCGGCGATAGCATTAGCGATACAATTTCTGTGTCTGGATAGCAACTTCGTGGGTATATATCTATGCTAACATTTTCGTAACACGCCACACCACCATCAGTGTTCAACACGCTCCAAAGGGCTACAGATGGTTTCAGCGACAAGTACATGATTAGTGCAAATTGTGATGGGAGAATATTTGAAGGTACCAACCTTCATACAAACATGCATTTTTTAAATTATTTTTATTCGTTCCTTCAATCATTTATTCATTCGTATACTTATTCGTTCATTTACTCATTTATTCATTCATTCATTTTTAATTCTTTTCGTTAAGGTTGTCTCAATAACAGCAGAGTAGCCATTAAGCTGTACAGCAAGGTAATAATTATGATAATAATAATTAATAATGATATAAATAATATGAATAGTATAATATAATTGTGTTAATGGTTATCATTTTTTGATATTATCGTCATTATTGTTATTATTATTATACCTTATCAACGTTTCAGATCGAATGCTCCAAGTTATCAGAGGCATTCGTCAGCGAGTTAGAATTCATGAAAAAGTAAATGTGGCCCATTCGTCTTTTGTATTTGTTGTTTGCCGGTCGTGTTTTACTCTGTGTTGAATGTCTTCTCACAAATTAATGTGTGGAGTGTCCTGTTGTTTATGTGGTCACAAGCGTTCGGAGAAATTGAATCCAGTAAGGAGAGTTCGTCATTTTAAAAATTTTCTGCAAGTGAGCTGAGATGAATCGATCTTAAGGTCTCGGGGTGTCATTTACATCCAACCCAAATTGATAAAGGACGTTAAACGAGGATTGATTGATTGATTAATTGATTGATTAAGTGATTGATTGATTAATATAATTTACATGTGAAAATATGACAAAGCAACCAAAAATTACTAACATTTATTTATTTTTCTTCATTTCACGTAGATATACTTTTATTTATTAAACGCTTTTCAATTTTTCATCATTTAACAGCTGAAAAACATCTGAAAGACATTTTTAAAAGTAGTTTACAATGGTAGTAGTTGCGAAGAGAAAAAGAGCTAAGAAATACTTACTAACCATCATTTTTTTACTTGTAGTTGACCATCTTTTGTGAGTAGCTAACACATCACTGTGTGTATGTGACGATGATAATAACAATAATAATAATAATGAATAATAATAATAATAACAACAAAGGTTTAAGCACGAGAATGTGCTGATGTATAAAGAGGTAGTCATTGACGGTCCGGTTTTAACAATTGTTCAACCTTTCATGGAAAATGGATCTCTTAGGGATAGACTGGATTGCAAGGTCATTATTATTATTATTATTATTTGTATTTTTTGATGTTTTTATTATTAATAATAATAACAATAAAAATATTGATGATATTTTCAAGTCGAACACGCTGCCTCTGACGTGGCTTCAAAGGCACAAGATATTGTTAGAGGTATCCAATGGCTTGTACCACATACATTCACTTGCGCCCAACGCCATAGTTCATGGGAATTTGAAAAGGTTTTTTGAGGGTTTTTAAATTTTTTTTGATGGATGATTATTTTTACTGTTTTTTCGAATTTTTACCGAAAACTTTCTTTATAAATGTATGTATGTGTAGTATATGTATGGGTGTGTAAATATGTATATGTGTATGTATGCATATATTAATTGGTTTTAAACATTATAAATTTCACGTATATGTATATATTAATTGGTTTTTATATGTATGCATATATTAATTGGTTTTAAACATTATAAATTTTACATATTTTATATATATGTTTTAAAAATTGATTCTTAAATGTTTTAAAAAAGAAAGAAAAAAAATTATTTAATTTACATTCATTTACTTGAACTATGAATGAATTTATGAATTACTTTTTTGAATGTTGGGGATTCCGCTTAGTTAAGATTTACTCTTTTGGAATGCCCCATTATGTAACAAATTTATTGCTGTTTGTTCATAATGAACGAGAATATTTATAAACGTTAATAAATGCTATAAATAATCTAAGTCATTATTTTTCATTTTAAATAATGCGATGGTTGTGTTTTGATATGATTCGCTTTAAAAATATGTTTTATGTAATTATAAATTAATTTTTTTTCATCTGTACCGTAATTAACTTTTGTAAAATTTCTTGCAGTACAAACATCCTTCTTGGAGTGAACATGCAAGCCAAACTCAGCGATTTCAAGCTACCAAACGATAGTACGACAACGAATACAGTATCGAACATTCTAGAAAACAGCCCCCAATGCACTAATTTTTCACTAAACGTCAGTGAAAATAGCAAATTCACGGCCTTGAAAGCTTATATGCCTGATGAATTTTTCACAAATGGCTTTCAGACCAATATTAAAAGTGACGTGTTTTCATTTGGCGTGGTAAGAATCTCTTCTTTCTCATTTTTCCAATCATTTATAGTTCATAATTAATTATATTTTTAATAATAATTATTATTTAATACGAATTAATTATTATTTAATATTGTTCGCAGATAATATTTGAAACATGCACCAGGCAACTTCCTTTTGACGAAAGGAGAGAGAGAAATTTTGTCTTTTTGGTGATTGGTTTTAATAATTTATATGCATAATCTTTTAAATTTTATTATTAATTTGTTTAATTATTTCAAATTATTGTCTTATTCGTTTATTTTCTTATTTTCAGTTACTTTTTTTTTGTTAATATTATTTGGTTTTGGCATGCTTTTGAAGTAGTATTAGACAGCCCAGTGTTTAAGAGGTATTTCGAATACTGTATTTAACAGCAGTATTTAGAGAGTATTTAATAACGTTGGGACGGCAATTAGTGATCAACAAATTTAATTATTTTGACAAAAATATTTTTCTATATCAATCTACAATCTGTTTTCTCGCGCTATCTATCAGCTCTACCACTCTTTAAATCTAACAATCAGTGAATATCGGCATTAATATTTGTTTCATGTGTAATCTAAACATTCATGAAACTTCTAGAAAAAAGACATTATTGTAAACTTCGGCATGTATGGTAGTACGCGCTTAAAAAGTACGCGTTTATTACGCGCGTAAACTCATTCACCAGCCATGTAAATAAATTTTATCAAATGGGGACTACGTGGCATTTAAAATATATTTTAATCCCTTCCAGACAGTATTGAAATACTAGGAGGAATATTTGATCTTTAAATACCATTTAAATACTAAATTTTGACCAGGTCTTTGCAAAGAAAACTAATTAATAATTTATTACAATTTTTTTAGAAAGAATTCGTCCACGATATATTCGAGAAGAAGAACAACAAATTATTATGCCTAAAAGATTCGAACGTCTCTGATTGGTCAGATGATTCCTGGATCAAACTAATGTCTCTGGGTAAAATGTGCACTATGAATAGAAATGATAGGCCTAGTACTAAAGTTGTTAGTATTTTTTGACATAATTTTGTGCTTAGTACTACTGTCTAAGGTTTAGTAGTAGTAGCGGTAGTACTAGTAAGTAGTAGTGGTAGCGATAGTGGCAGTAGTAGTTGTAGCAACAGTAGTAGTAGTAGTAGGGGTAATATTGTTATAAAATAAATGCATTTATTAACTACAGGTGAATAATTCATTGAAGCTTTACCAAGATGGTGCATTGAATTGTTAGTTGTTGAGTTTTTTTTTATTTGAAAATGGTTTGTAATTAAGATACTATTAATGACGTTATTGTTTCTACTGGTTTTTATTATTTGTATTTCAGGCATAGCAGTTATAGAAAAAGGGAGTGTTGACAAGGAGCCAACGAAGGATATTGACCTCTTCACAACAACAGCTCCACTGACTAACTCTACAGAAGACATCAATTCCTACCTGAGCAATATGAAAACTGCTAAAATTACTAAGCCGCCACCACCACCAACACTATCAACAACAGCAACAATATTTGATGTCAACAATAACACCAACAACACCACTGACATATATTCATCAAATTGTAACGACTCACAACTCATGCGGAAACCGACTTATACGAAAAAATTTGACTCAGACATCTGGCCCATCATATCGTCATCCGCTGAATTTTCTAACAAAACCGACAACTACTATTGCCCATCTGATGATATGAAACGCCTGCAAAATAAAAAATTACTTGATCTTGATTTCTTAAACTCCGATGACGATATTGTTAGTGTTTTAAAAAATGTGGCTCTAAATGATGATGATTGCGTCATAGAGATGTGCGAAAAAGAAGTTTCTTTCAATCTAAAAAGTAGCGAATTAGGTTCTGATGTTGAAAAAGGTTCTTTAAACGTGAAAAATCATGAAAATGTTACGGATCAAAAGGCAGAAAAGGTTGCAAAAACACTTGACACATCTTCCCTTGAAAAAATGCTTGCTAGTGGTTCATCTGATTTTTTTCAGCTGTCGAAAATTTTAGCTACTGATGATGAACAGAGGTTTTTCAGACTTAAAAAGCTGAAAGAAACGTTTTATAAAAGTTGAAAATTTACTTTTTTGTAAATCCTTTGTTTAATTTTTCATTTATCTGTGAGAAAATGATTATAAATATGAATGTGAATTGTTTATATGCATTACACACAGCATTGTGCAAATTAAATTCTTTAATGTTGTTATTGGTAAATAAATTTTTTGTATTCTTGTTTTATTTATATGTATGCCTATGCAAACATATGTGCTCAGACGATGAGCAGTCTTATTTGTTATAGTTATAGTTATTCTAATTATATGGTTTTTATGTATATGTATATACAATGAAAGTGTTTATACATGAATATATTGTCTATGAAGAAAGTTGTGATTCAATCTCTCTTATCTGTTGTTTTTAGTAGCATAGTTGCAGTAGTAAAAATAGCTGAGAAACACAGACACAGGTAACAAAGAGTTAGTTTTAACTGAATAAGGGAAGAATTGGCTATAAATTTTTTTGTTTTAAAAATAAAAAAATATTAGTAACAAGCTTATCTGTAAGAAGCGGAAATATCCAAGGATGAGTAGTTCTGTTGATATGTAATAGTAGTGTAGATTTCTTCAAAGTAGAAAGTTCGAGTTTTTTTTTACCGATGTATATTTTTTACCGACGTATATTCACACGAATGCTGAATGTTACATTCCTAATTTTCCTATATATGAGTCTTCCAAACATACGATCGTTCAAGTGTATCATGTGAAAAATGGTAATGGCGTTTTTCTTTAATCAGTTTTTTACATAAACGATAATCTTTAATTAAAATATTTACAAATAAAATTTTGTTGACTTACTTTTGGTGAAACAGGAAATCCGTCCTGTTTATAAGCCTTGATTTTTTTTATAAAAGGCTTATTTATATTTTTTATATTTATGGCCTTATCTTAGCTCATGCCTTCAGATAATCTAATGCCCAGGATGGATCTTTGTTTTTGCCCTTATTTTTAAATTCTTTTTTTATATTTTAATCGTTTTAATTATTTTTTATTTTAAAAATATCATATAAAATAATGACATTGTAGGCATAAATAAACAGAATGTTATAATTAAAAATTGATTAAATTAATTTAATTTATATTTTTCACCAGTCTGAAGAAAATATTTTTAAAGATGATGACGTCAACAAATGACTTGAGAACACCATTAATTTCAACAGCTCAACTATCATCAACTTCGGCAATAGTTGTCATGGAGGAATCCGACAATGAAACTGAACTTCTAGTTCCTCTCGAAAGATCATCAAAATGTTGCTCAGTTCCAAGGGATGTCATCGCATCTGTCATTGCTTGCATCGGTTCTTTTATCATGGGAATTGCCCTGGGGTACTCATCTCCGGCTCTAGCTTCAGAGACGTTTTCAGATTTTTTAGGAACAAAAGATAATCAGTTTTGGTTTGGTTCATTGTTGGCTGTGGGAGCCATCTTTGGTGGCCCAATTGGTGGAGTTCTGAGGTCGCTGGTTGGTTTGAAGTTCACCCTCATGCTTTGTAATCTTCCACTTGGCATTGGCTGGTTGTTAATTCTTGGCAAGTTTTCAGTTGCTACAGCTTTCATAGGCAGAGTTTTGACAGGAGTTGGTATTGGTGTTGCTTCTTTTGCCTCCCCTCTCTACGTTTCAGAAGTTGCTGACAAATCAAGAAGAGGTGTCTTGGGTCTGTTTTTTCAACTGACAGTTTCAATTGGCATACTTGTTTCATTTGCACTCGGTACAGTTTTAAGTTGGAATTATTTGGCTCTGGTGTTCATGATAATTTCAGTTGTAAATTGTTTAATGATCCTGATTATTCCTGAATCTCCAAGATGGTACTTGACACAACATCTAGATCAGGATGCTTTGGAATCATTAAAGTGGCTCTACAGATCTGAGCAAAGAGCTACCATCGAGATTAACTTCTTAAGAAACACATTAATAAACAGTATAGAAAATAGAAATGATGGTGCTGTTTCAAGATTTTCACTAGCTGATTTGAAATCACGAGAAATACACAGACCAATTTTGATTGGTATTGGTTTAATGGTTTTTCAGCAGCTATCTGGAATCAACGCAATCATGTTTTACACTAGCTCAATCTTCTCCAAGGCAGGATTCCAGGACAATCCCTCACTCCCAACGATCATCACAGGATCCGTTTTAGTTGCAGCCACCTTTCTATCCTGCTTCTGTATAGATTGCCTTGGTAGGAGAGTTCTCCTATTAATATCTGGAGTATTCATGACGGCCAGCATGGTTTGCTTTGGACTTTATTATTATCTAACTGAAGAGGTAAGTAGAACAGATTTAAGCTGGCTCTCACTGAGTAGTGTATGTGCGTTTATAATTTCATTTTCATTCGGTTGGAGTTCGATACCCTGGCTTGCTTGCTCTGAAATTATGCCTGCAAAAGCCAAAAATTTTGGGATTAGTGTTACAACGATTTCGAACTGGTTGTTTACGTTTTTGATAACAAAAGAAGTAGTAGATTTGACTTATTTACTACATAGTTATGGTACTATGTGGCTCTTTGCTGTGTTCTGTGCTATCAGTGTCCTCTTTGTAGCTGTCTGTTTGCCAGAAACCAAGGGCAAGTCTTTGGAAGAGATTCAAAGTCATTTTACTAGGGGTAGTGCAGCTCGATGACGATGATGAAGGTGAAGATGATGGTGATGGTGATGACGATGATGATGACGACAAAAATATGCTTATGAATATTTGCAATGCAATAAAATGATGAATACAAACATGTACCTACATGCTTTTAGCGTACATTCTCACAAAGTTTAATGTTGATGATTGCAATTTTTATTATTTATTAAACAACTCATAAGTATGCTATACATGAACATGATCCTCATATGGATGTAGCAAAGAATTCAAATGTTGTTAATGTATCGATTGAGATTGTATGTATCATCCCATGTCATGTTCGATGTGTGTGTGCGTGTGTGTGTGTGTATAATAATAAATGTACTATGATAAATTATCCACCGACTTTCACTAATGATAAAAAACTCATTCCTATATTTCCATGAATGAGACCAGTATTCATGTAAAGTAATATTAATATTGACTTTCCTCTTTGTTTGTACCGTTGTTGTAAATATTAAATGTTATAAATTTTAATAATTTTACGTGTTTCGTTTGAAAAATTTATTTATTACATAATTTACTTTCGTATCAAATTTTCGTTCGTAATAGGAATACCATTATTTCCCATAAGGATTAATAAATTTGAGTATTAACTGTATTTTATTTTGCCATATTTTTTCAATTAACTATAAAGCATTTATATCTTTTAATGATATTTAATTAGTTTTATTGATTTTTATTTATTTGTCCTGGTTATGACATTGTCCTGGTTATGACATTAAACTGACCCTCACTGCCTTGTAAGTGATGTTGGATCATCAAAGGCTAGGCCCACCGCTTATAACTGGTTGCGTAAGGAAGGGCGTCCTGTGTAAAAACTAGCCAAAAAATAATACTTATGATGACGGAAATAACAATGGCCCTCAGTATCCGGCAGAAGAGGGTGCGAAGAGCGGGGTTGCGTGATACTGAGGCGAGTGACAGATGTGGATGGCGTCGAGGAGTATTTCGGTTTCATCATAGGTAGCCAAACGGCAACCCCCGATCTCGGGGAAAATGTCGTCTAAACGTGTGTTGTTGTTGTTTTATTGATTTATCTATTTATTTGTTAAAATAGTAGTTCATTTATTCGTGTGGTCATAATTTGGATGTTAAATTAATCATTAGTGGGGATATCACTGTTTGTTTCAGTTGGTTTATTGTACAATTTTTATATTTTTCTATCACCATTATTTCTACTTTGTTCTTTTTTAAATAATTGGATTAAAAAGTATTTATTTTCACAAATATTTTATTAACTTCTATCTCAATTTGATAAAAAAATTTAAAAAATATCTGCAATGTCAAGATAATGTACAAATTTAAGTCTTTGTTTCTATCATTTTTCACCATTGTTTGAAAAACTTGAGGTGCGTATTATACACAAATGTGTATGTATAGACATTTGTGTATATATGTGTGTGGTGTGTGTGTGTGTGTTGAATTGAAATCTGTTAAAGTTACAACCACAACGAAAACTATAATAATAATAATAGTGACAATAAGTATAATAGTTATTATCACTAACGTAAAACAATAATATCATACAGTATCAATATCATACTTGAATCGATTTTTTGTTTTAAACATTAAAAATAACAAACTATGTTAATATTTCCCATCTGATATAATAGTATCAGTAAAAGTTACATCAAGTTAATATCGATATTATGGTGTTAATAATATTTTTAATTATTGGCGGTCACAAATGAATAAAATCGTATAAAACTTGTTTGTAATACTAAATGTGCGTCGCAATTATTTCTATTGCAAGTCGTTCATCTCAAATGTATAGAATTCAACGTTCGTATATTTTCTCTTGAAAATTTAAAAATCTCTTCTAAGTGATTGTGGTAGAGTGGCGAAATAAAATTTTATCACAACTATCCAAGCATCGGATAACTGTTTGGTTGACAGTTTGCTTGCGCTCTGAATCATCTTCATCGCTCTGCAGCTCGGATGCTGAGTCGGAATCGGACGTGACTGCTGCTGCTGCTGAGTTAGTCTGTGGCATGAGGGGACAGTGACTCGCCATCGAGGTCAGTACTTCTTTTAGTTTGTTGCTTGAAATTTGGTTGTTGGCGGAGAGAGGTGCGGAACTCATCTCGCGTCGACGTGCTGTCGTTACTCCTCTCACAGCTCCGCCACCGCCGCTACTACTTCCGACGCTCGTACTTCTGCGATGTTCAGAATTTGTAGAAATTCTAGAGGGATGCGACTGCTTTCTTGTGGCATTGCTGCTAATATTGCCTGAGGTTGCTTTGTGATTTGTAACATTTGTGTGTCGTTTGTCGGTTCTTCGGATATTTGACGGTCCCGCGTGTATGGACGTTTCGTTAAACTCCGAATCATCATCCAAGTCGTCTCCTCTGCAGGATGCACTCGATGTTTCAGGCGGTTGTCGGACCGGTTTCAAACTTATCATGTCATTTTGCTCCGGACCGATCCCGCTAACTGTTTTCAATCCTCTACCGTTGGTCCACGCTACGTTTGTCATTTGGTTGAAGTTGATTCGATGGCCTCCTCCTGATTTCGATCGAATCTGAACGGCGGCAGGACCACCCGAGGCGATGATGTTCTCTGGCGCCACACAACCATCATCCACCGGATCTGAAGATGCTTCAAAACTTCCATCCGGCCATTCTCCGTGGTATGGTGAGAGGATGTCTCGAGTTGGTAGTTGATGGTAACTGGCGAAACTCTTCATGGCATTGTAACGTTGGTTCTGTACTGCTTGTTTGTATCCGGATGTCTGTTTCTGTCCACCGCTACCCACTACGTGCTGATTAACATTCACGTTGGTGTTCGCGTCGTTCAGCCTGGCTAGATGTGTTTGACTGTTCGATTGGTAACGAACGGGTAACGATTGTAACGAATATCTGGACCACCGTTGTTGACGTTTGAGAGCGGATGACGATTGGTGTTGGTTGGTTTTGTTGCTTCCCATGTTGTTGGTCCCGATGTTGTTCAATCTTTGCTGGCTGGCTCTCTGTAGAGATTGTCTCGCCATCTGCAATCCACGCTCTTCCTCCTTCGTCTCCATCTCCAAATGTTTTATGAATCTTATCAAGTTCCGAGGAATTTCTGACGTCAATTCGTCAACGTTCATCTTACTACCACTGTTACTACCGCTTCCAGATTTTGTACCACCCGACACACCTGGAGTCGAACCACTACCACCACTGCCGCCACTATTGTTACTACCACCGCCTTTTAATGTTTTTTGAAGTTTTTCCCAAAAAGTTTTTTTAACTTTTCCGTCTCTAAATTTGAAATCCCAAGTTAATGTGAGGCTGAGTTTGTGGGACCTCTCTGAGACGGTCCACTTTAGGCAGTCCTTGTGTGCCTCCATGATGTGCAGGATGGCAATCACGTACCGCGGAAGGCCGTACGTCGCGTACGTCATTCTGTTTTATTATTAGGATTGCTATTATTGCTGTTATTATTTTCGTATTTTCGTTGTGATTTTTTTGCCGCTGTCTTGTTGTTGTTTTTACATCAAACTTTGGAAATAATTTAGAGTTTATATCTTTAAAAATCTTCAGAAAATAGAATGAATGCCCAGTTTTTAATAAGTTTGAAGAGTGGTTGGTCCTGCTGCCACAGACGTAGTTTTCCTGAATCACTATGAAAATCTTTGCTATGTTATGTTAATCTTTTCTTAGGTTTGCAGCTGTAGAAGAACGAACAAAAATCTTCAACATTTTAAAATTAATTTTTAAATGAAATACATTTAATTAATATTTAAAAAATTCCTATAAAGAAAATAAAAAATTTCAGAGCACTTCAGAACGCATTGTGAATGTTCGATATCAACAGAGCTGGGATGCTTGCGCGCGTCTGAATGCACCAAGAAGGAGGAAACTGCATGCATTGCGTGTTTCTGTTTTGCGGGCATTCGTAAGTAAGTACGTACAACATATATTCATACATACACGCACACACACACACGCACGCACACACATGTGCCCATGCATGCCATGCATGGATGAAAAGCAAACAAAAATAAATTACCCAAACAGTTGCGTAAATAAATGAATGTACCATCTCACGCATAAACATTTACTTGGAATAGTTGTATGTAATATACATACAAGGTGCTGGATGTGCGTACAATACATTCTTGCGTACATTATCCACGCATCCATACGCCAATTGATACAGAAGAACGTATGGGAAGTGTGTATGTACATTTTTCTTGCACATACATGCAAAATGTTGGCTTTTCTTGCTTGTACTTTCTCTTTATTCTTTGTTTTTATTTCTTTTTTCATTTCTTTTCTCTCCCTTTCTCTCTCTCTCTCTCTCCCCTGTGGACATCCAAATGCGGTCATTGCTTACTCTTCTCGTAGATAGAGCTTGCATGTACGCAACTCATCTACTTACTTTGCAATAGCTACGCATGCATGTATGTCTGTCTGCATGTGTGTGTGTGTGTGTGTGTGTGTGTGTGTGTGTGTGTGTGTGTGTGTGTGTGTAGGTATGCTGCATCCGACTGCCAGCATATATACAGTTGTGTTGAAATTTATGACAACTTATAATACTTGTACGTACTTAACCACACGTGCGTCTATTTAAAAATTTAATGCCAACATTTGGTATCACACACACACACGCACGCACACACACAATACATGAAAATAATGAAGCTGTTGAGCGAGGCTTATGACCGTCTACATATTTCATGGAGGAATCGTTTTTCGAACTTCAATCTTCTTGTTATTTAAATCGGATCATAACTTTTACGAATTTAGTTTATAACTTTTTCTGCGCACTCTTTATAGCAATTTGTTTTGTCATAGAGATGATCAAGAGCCTTAAAAATGGTACGCTTATAATTATAAAATGTTTAGAGGATCTTGATTGATTGAACTTCTAATCCAACACCGACCTATTTTTTATAAATGAAAACAATCCAAAAAGTTCATTTTAAGCAAAAATTTTCCTCACAACTAGACGACTAAATGGAGCTTGGAATTTAACATTTCTACCCCGTTCCACATACGTACAGTGGCAAACGCGCATTAATCCTCTAGCATTCGTCAAATTAAACATTTTTTGATAAGAAAATTTAAAAAAAAATTTGAGAATGATAAAAACTAAGGAAATATTTGAGAAAAACAAAAGAGCACAAGAGCGGCAGAAGAACGCAGCCAAATTTATTGATCGATATTTCTCAGCCAACAGCAATCCAGTACTATTTATATACATAGCACTACACAGATTCTGAAGCTACCGTCCCAACCTTACAAACAGTTGTTGCTCGCTCACTGGATTCAAATGCAAGAAGAATCTACGCTTTAATGATAAAATAAAAAAAAACGACTTTTAAGTTAGTTATTTCTTTCATTTCATAAACCAAGACATTGAATCTGTTCAGCTTATTTATTTAAATGTATATGACATTATTAAATTTATTTAATATAAAAGTTATTTAAGTTTAATGACAAAAAAGTTTTTTCAAACAACTAATGATGATTATAAACTACTTACATACTATAAGAACAATGCACGTATAAATTATATAGGTAGAATGCTGAAATATAAGTTTACTGTTTCAAGTTACAAGTTCATTTCGAACATTACGGCGCGGTTATTAATATTTCAATATGTTTATAATTATCGTTCACTGGATTGATAGTATTTCCTCACTACTACATTATGACATAAACTCTACAAACGCCATCCATTTGAGCATTCGTTTAAAGTTACGTCAGTTTTGTTACTGTTACGTTCATTATAACATTTATTCATTCCTTCATTCACTTATACATTCTATCATTCATTCACTCATTCATTCACATTCTCATTCCTTCACTCATTCATTCATTCGCTTACAGAAAACATTCATTCTGACCGTCTAAATATTTTATTCTATATAAAAACGAGCCAAACTTCAATTATTCATTCAAAATATGTACACACACACACACACAGATATATATATATATATATATATATATATATATATATATATATATATAGATATATATATACATATATGTATAGTTCTTCAGCCTAATATATTATTATTATAATGCACACATGTTTAAACATCGTGCTGAGTCTATTTGAATTCTACTAAACATTACTGCTATAAACTAAATTTAAGAGAAAAATAAAAAAACAAAAAATATGTAATACATATAACACACACACACACACACACACACATATATATATATATATATATATATATATATATATATATATATATATATATATGTGTATAAATATACACACACACACATGTGTACACACATATTATGAGTATGAGGAATTGTTCCAAATGGATGAAAGAAACTTTTTTCTATAATTTATTTATAATCTAATTTACCATCATCGTCATCATCATCATCAACAACAACATCAGTATCATCATCGTCGTCACTTTTATTACATACCAAAGAATAAAGCAAATTAGAACAGAAAAAAGCAGTAACAAATATTTTGATTTAACATGAATCTGAAGCCCAAGACGTACATCGAACATACACACGTACAAGTTTGTACAGAATGCGATGTTGTACATCTGCACATTCATACCTACACAGCAGTGATAATCGGAATTATACTTAATTATTTTCCGCTGTTTTGTTATTATCAGCACCACCACCAGCATGATCTTTACTGATAACATTATGCGAAAACAATGATTGGTTCCCATCGGTCGGAAAATCAGGTAGGGATAGGGGAGGTTGGTCAGCGACTGCCTGCTGGTCGGGGATGTGCTGAATTGCTGAATTACCAGCTCTCCCAATGTTGTTGTCGATGTTTCGTAGCATCTGTTGTTGCGCTAAACTATTGACATTATTTTGTTGTTGCTGTATTAGTTGAATGTTTAAACTCTGTGGCATATTGACTTTAGGTATATTCAGCATGTATGAGCCCTGGGGTAATGTTCTATTTGGTGACTCCGGAATGTTACTAATTAGATGATGATGATTAGGGAATAACGTGCTAATTAGTTGTATACCGTCCGGTGATTTAACTGACGTGATGTTCTTATTTATCAATGATGTGGAGGACTTTGATAAATCGAGCACTCCATCATTTAACGTTTGCGATGTCGCCTCTATGCCAAGATTACCAGCAGTAATAGTAGTAGTTGTTGTTGTCGCCGTGGTTGTTACAGTGGTATTTGTAGGTGTGAATGGTAGTGATGGAACTAATATGTTAGTGTCATTTAATGGTGTAATACTTTGAATCAACTGTTCTAACTGTAGTTTTTCCAAATGCTTTTGATGTTGTAGCTGCTGTTGTAATTGTTGTTGTTGCGCCAGTAAAAGTTGTTGATGATGTTGCAGTAGTAGCGTGTGTTGCTGCAACAATTGTTCCTTCATTTGCCTGTGCAGGTCATCATCGAGACTGTTTAGAGACAAGATGCTGTTCATAATTTCTGAACTGGAAGTTGGGTTTTGTAATGATGACAAAGCAGCAGATATCTGTTGTAAGATTGGTTGTTGTGGTTCAGATGCTACAATCTCATTAGTCGACAGCTGTGAAGGCAGCTGGTACGAAGCCAGTGATTGGTTGATTGGATGCTGAGTTGTGGATTGGTTGGCAGTGAGGGCCGGGGTGTGAAAAGCAACGTGATTCGTTGGCAGAGATAAAGATGATGAAGAAGTGAGGACGTTGTTGCTGTTTGAAAGTTGTGATGCTGATAGCAGTTGTTGTTGTTGGGTGGCAGCCGATGATGACGATGAAGTCATTGGCGGCTGTGTGGTTTTATCATAATCATTATCACTATCACCACTGGAGTCCTGTAGTGATGAAGACGACGACGATGACAAAGATGGTGATAATGATGCTTTTGTTGATGGTAGCAGAGATTTTATTGTTGGTACTGTTGGCATACATATATATATATATATATATATATACATATATGTATATACATATATATATATATATATATATATATATATATATATATATACGTGTGTGTGTGTGCATGTTTGTGTGTGTGTGTATGTGTGATTAAAAATGTTTAGAACAATCTAGAACAACTTCAGAAGCCTTAGGCCATGCGTTGTCCATTTTCATCCTTTTTGATCTCTTCGATTTGAAAGGTAATTCATCTGCAATTTTCATTTTCTTTGGCCTGCATTATAAACAAATAAAAATATATATATTCAAATAAATAATTATATATATGCATAGATACATATATATGTATTTGTAAAAGTACTTGATAAAAACCAACTAAAACAATAAAATTAAAACTTGAATAAAATTATAATTAAGAAAAATTAATCAGAAGAGGAAGCAAACGTAAGGGAAATTACCTTCCTCTGGGTTTACCAGTAGAAACTTTTGCCAACACACCACTGGCCCCACTTCTACCCCCAAAATTAGGACTTGGTAAGTTAGATGTTGAGTGTGATGGTATAAATGTCGATGAAGTTGGCTGCGATTGTCGTGGTAGGGATGCACCTGTTTCCTGTTGATTGTCATCTTCATTCGGTTGGATATCTGGAATCGAGGACACAAGCTCCGATAGAAATTTGAATTCTTTGTCTTGAAGCACTGTCTGTTTACTGTTTGGGAAATTAAAAAATTGTTTCAGAGATAGTTAATTAAAAGAATTATATCAATAAATTATAACCATAACATAACACTTATGAAGACTTATTCTATATACATAATATAATTACACTAATTTATTTATTTCAAATAAATTAAAATACTTATCATCTTAAAATTATTAAATTATTTGATTGCACTAGACTTATAAACATTTAAAAACAATATAATGAGCATTAAAGTAAAATAGAAAACAAGTAAATGTAATTATATAAAAAAACTAAGACATTAACTTACATGTGTTGTGGTGTTAGGGTTTTTGCATTCTTCAAAATCACCAAATCATTTGTCTTTTTGATCAATGATTCTATAAATAGCTCCAAAGATCGTGCTAGTTGCAAAATGTTAAAATTAATAATTATGATTATAAATATATGAATATGTAATAATTTTTGAAAATAATATCATAAACCCAAATTACAGAAAAGACTACATATTTACACTCAATGATAATTAGCTAAAAACAGTTTCACATAATTAAATATTAAGTAAGAGTGAAAACCTAATAGATTTTCAATCACATTAAATTATAGAAAAATAATAAAGTACTATTCAAACTAACAAATGATAACAGGGACAGCTGCAGCGACTTTTCCAACTTCCTCATCTTTTTGCATTATCTTCTTTATCCTGGCCTAAATAAATTAATTAAGTAATTTAAAATTAAAATATCAATCAATTAAATTTTAATAAATTTTTGCTAAAAATGCGAAAATGGTAGACAAGCAAATAAAAAAACAAATTAAACTTTAAAAATAATAAAAAGAAATAAAGATAAAAAAACTGACAGGTGGAAACCTAGCACTGTACTTCTTTTTCTTGTTGGGCATATTGTTTTATCGGTTCGCAAAAATTTCAACTTTAATCTCAAAAACCTTCAAATTGAGATTAAAAAGTAAATGGTATAAATAATTAAATAAAAATTGTTTTACTTATTTAATTATTCTTCGGCGATTTTATGAACCTGGAAGCCCAAATGCGAAATTTTGTACTAAAAGTGGAATCAATTGAAAGTTATAAACAAAGATAGATAATAAAACACGAGAGCAAACTATCGAAGAGTATGAAATATGCAGGCAGTCCTCGGCTTTGTATACTGTTTGTTATTAACTTTGTCTATCTATATCAACTTTGTCTATATTAACTTATTATTATTTATTCTTATTATATGTATCAAACAGTATCTTATAGAACAAAGTAGTTTCATAAAATGAATAAAGAAACTTTTTTCAAAAATTTAAAAAATTCTCAATTTGATTTCATTGCGATATCGATGATGATGATTGTGACCTGACTAATTAAAAAACATCAAATAAAATTTATTAAATAGGATGGGTAATTCATTGCGAAATCGTTAGAGGAAATGACGTCATGTTAACAGTAGTTATTTTACTGCATGGTAGTTAATCAGCCGGTATAAAGTTTATATTCAATTTCTATTAAATAAATTTGACCAAATATCATTTGCAGGCAAATCTAAATAAAGAAATATATATATATATATATATATATATATATATATATATATATATATATATATATATATATATATACGTAGTTATAATACATTTAAATGTTGTATTTACACATTCAAATATTTTTCAAATATTTCACAAATCCAACGTCATCGTATTTGCTATCTATAGACCACCTAACTCTGACCCCTCCAATTTAATTCAAAAACTTGACCTCGCTTTATCTAGTCTTAAAACCAATTCTAAAGTTTACCTTGTCGGCGATTTCAACTTAGATCTCTCAAAGGCCTGCTCTGATAAACTCGTTGCTTCCTTTTCCGATTTACTGGCTTCCTTCAACTTTGTTCCTCTTATATCTCACCCTACCAGAGTGACTCATTCTTCCTCTTCTATAATAGACAATATCTTCACAAGCAATCTATCTCATCACATTTCTGGTATTCTTTTACATGACTTTTCCGACCATTTTCCTATTTTCGCTTTATGTCCAAATTATTGTTTCCCCATTCCAACAGCTCCAATTAAACTTCGTAGAAATCTCTGTCCTGATTCTCTTAGGAAAATCAACCTCCAACTTTCTGTCCGA